TATATATATATATATATATATATATATATATATATATATATATATATAAAACAAATATATATATATTACAAAAACCCTCAGATATGAAAGTACCCATGTCATAGATAAATTAAATGTCATCAGTGCTCTCCACCTTAGATGAGTCTGAAATCATTCAAAAAATTCAACAAGGATTTATTGATATTTTTTTCTACTTGTGTTTTGAGTACTTATTCATTTTTTTCCATAATAATATATTGAGTCCCTGTTAGGTATAAGGCACTGCTGGGCACTATAGTAGATGTTATAAAAAAACAAAAACAAATTGTATGTGGGACTTGCTCCCAAAGCCATTGAACCAGTATTGGTGTGGTGGGCAAGATGTGATGAAAACAAAATCTGTCAGAGTGTTACAATGCTAAGGTAGAATTTTGTACGTGCAGTCGTCAGGTGCAAAACAGAGTGTGTGAAATATTAGATCCAGTAAGACTTGTTGAGGGGTAATATTTGAGTTGACTCCTAAGAGACAAATAGTCAGTGGCTAGGCAAATGGTGATATATGTTAGAGGTGTGTTAGGGCAGCTGGAAGGGCACTTCAGACAAGGGATTAGCATATATTAAGCAGGGCAATGTAAAACAGTCTAGTATGGTCAGGGGATTATACACAGTTGCATATGGCTGGCATAGTGGGGAGGAAGTAGAATGAAGTAAGGGACATGTTTGGAGGGAAAATCAGGCCCAGATTACATATTATGTTAAGAATAGCATGTGCTGTGTACTTTCCTGCAGGAAATGAGGGTACAGCTAAAGAATTTTAAGTAGGGCTAAAAGTATGTATAAATTGATGTTTTGTAATAAAAGTCAGCAAACTATATGGACTAAATCTGGCCCACTGTTTTGCTTTGTAAATAAAGTTTTATTACAACACAGCTAAGCTCATTCACCTGTATATTGTTGATGGTAGCTTTTGTACTACAGTGGCAGAGAGAAGGCCCACGGATCCTAAACTATTTACTACCTGGACCTTTACAGAAAAAGTTTGCCAATCCCAGTTTTCCAAAGATTTCTTTATCAGTAGCATGGAGGATTAATTGGAGGGTTTTGTGTAAGAGTAGAGGCAAGGAAACCAGCTGGGTGCTTCCTGCAGGATTACAGGGAAGAGATGAGTGGCGGAACTAAGGCAGAACAGGGACACTCCAGGACAGAAATGGCATACAAGACATTAAGCATTTGGCTGTGCTCAAAGCTAAGGTAAAGACAGCAATCTAGATTGAGTGGATACGCCATGGTACCATTTATAAAGGCTGGAGGGATCTCGGTGAGTTAGCTCTGATTTGGACATGTTGAGTTTAAATTGTAAGAAAAAAAGGTGAAAATAGTGTCATCAAACACTACAGTTTCCACTCAAAATTATGTTGGAATTAACTACAATTCAAATTTGGCTATTCATGCCTCCTTATCAGGATACTATTGTAGTAGATTGGGGCAATTCTTGTTTTGCCAATTACATTATAAGACCTTTAGTATTCTTCACTGCTGGGCATTAAATGCCAGCATCACCTCTACTTCAGTCATTGTGAAAACCCAATAAGCAGTTGTGCATTTCCAAGTACTGTGTTTCCTTTGGTATTTCTTTTTCTTCCATCTTCACGTGGCTGCGTAATGAATTGCCACTAGTAGTTCCAGGTCATATATTTTCTCCTGATGTCTCACAGAACACTTGGGTATTTTTGAGCTGTTGAGACAGTCACTCTAACCCAACATCAACTATCTCCCCAGCATGGCCATCTCTTAAAGTTCCAGTTCCAGATCTGAAGCCTCTCCCAGTTTCCAACTCTGTTTCTTTCAATTCTGTTTGCCCACTCCTATCCAGCTGTGTCCCCTGTACCCCAAAGTCAGCAGATCTAAGACTGAGCCCATCTAAGTCTTTCTCCCCCATCATCCGTCTCCTCTGCTTTGCTGTTGGAAGTCTCTGACAGATCCCACCTAGACGCGGGACCACCTCCTTTTGTTCCTGTATCTGTGCCTCTATCCCATTCCCACTCACGCGGCACTGGACCCTGCCTTCCTCACCATTTTTTTTTTAGTTTTTATGACTTTTTCTAAAATGATTTTCCCAGACTCAGCCCCTCCCACGGTCTCCTTTCCCATCCTTCTTGCCAGATTAGTTTCCCTAAAGGACATTTAAAATATCTTACTGTGATGCTGCCCAAACATCTCCAGGGGCTTCTAGTGCCCATCCAAGTGCCAACTTAGGAGCCTGACACTTAGGAGCCTCCTTCCCTGGGGTGACGGTGACCTGCCTTCACAGGCTTTCTCTATCCCACTCCAAAAGAACTCCTAAGCTCTCGGACACATCCTGCATAAGTTTTCCCATCCTTGTGCTTTGCTTATTCCACTCCTTGCCACTCCCCACCCCCTACCGGAGTGAGAACCATAGGGCTCAGCTGAAATATCACAACCTCCATCAAGCTGTTTGCAGCCCTCTCAGTGGGATGGGAAAATATCCTCCCTCCCTTCCTTCCCAGGGGCCGTTATTGGGGCTTCACCTTTGGTCCTTTCCATGTACTCTAGGGGTCATTTTTTGTGCTCATTCATCTCTCCTATGAACTCCTGAAGGCAGGCAGTTTGTGTTACACATCTTAGTCTTTTATGCAGCATCCATCACAGCGTTTGTTGCACAGTGGATGCTGACTTAATATTTTTTAAGCACTTTATTGAGCTACCTACTAAAAAGTCATAGGAAAATGATGTAGGGGAAATGGAGCTGACTCATGATATTCAAATCAAGGAATATATTGACTGAATAAAACCAACCTACTTGCTCCTAATCTGACCTGGAGCTCCTTTGTAGATGAAATTTAAATGAAAGATAAGACTCATCGGTTTCCATGAGGAGAGATGGAAAGAGCCAAGTTAATGTGGAGCTTCTCTGAGGCACTGCCGTTTGTCTGCAGGTTTTATTGACTTCATCGTGGAACCCACCTTCACTGTGCTCACGGACATGACAGAGAAGATTGTGAATCCATTAATTGATGAAAGCTCCCAAACTGGCGGAATGGGACCGAGGCGTTCAAGGTCAGTGGAGAAGCCTGAAGGCTGGGAGTCAGCTTGGCCTGTCCATGAGGACAGAGTCCTTCTTTTGGAAGAGATGGGGGTGGTACTTCATAATGATGTTTGCCTTCCCTACTGCCTTCTGATAAGAGGTGCCTGCCTCTTTGTTTCCTCAGAGGAGTTGAAGCTGTACTATTTATACTCCCCAGGATGATGGCCTGTAAGGGGGTGACCAGGACCTAGCTCATGACTGGCGGGTACCTGGTATAGGCCCCACCCACCCCACATGCCCGTTTTCTCTTGTGGTGCCTTTGCTCATGGTGGGGTTAAACATCCTGTGCCCATGACTTGTTACCGGTGCAATCTCAGGCAAGTTGCCTCCGTTTCCCCATTGCGGATTATAATACTCATAGGTTGCAGGGAGGGTTAAACGAGCTCTTCAGTCCATGTACAGCCCTATAACAAAGCCCAGCACAGAGGAAGTGCTAGCTACAGTACAGCTAACACCTGGTTTATTAGTTGCACTGCTGATGGTTACTGCTCGTGCTACTCCCCCCTCCTCATCCATGCAAAACCTCGGGCTTTGTCATAAAGGAGAAAGCAGAGAGGTGGGATAGGAAAGAGGCGAAAAGAGCAAGAGAAGCAGTAAATAGGGAGAAGGGAAGGCAACAGGAATGTGAGGAGTTCAGGGCCGCTCAAGGTGGGTGGACCCAGTCAAGGCCGAGGCCCCTGCCTGAGTCCCACAGCCCCACAGCCCTGCGAGCACAGGGCTGAGCCGTACTCGACTTGTCTAGTCAGCCTCAGGTGTTATTCAGCGGGTTTGCATTCGTGTCAGCCACTGCTTAGCCACCGGGAAGTGTGTGATACTTTCCTTTAAAGTTACCCAGAAGGATGGCACTTTCTAAATTTGCAAAGCTGCACACGTTTAATGTGCAAAGTAATAATGATATAATACTGATAAAGTAATTATATATACATATATATACCTATATATGTATATGTGTGTATATATACATATATATGTATATATATATGTGTGTGTGTATACACACACACACACACACACACACACACACACACACACACACACACACACACATATAAAGGTTTCTTGTATGCCTGGTCTCCAAGCTGTCTCTGCCTCTCCACCTTCCCCCCAGGAACAGGAACTAAGGAAATCACCTGACCCTGGCCTTGGGGATCCTGGGATCAGACGCACCTGAGTGCAGGGGGAGGCAGCGCAGGAGAGAAAGAAGACCTAAGTGGTGGGCAGTGTGGAAGCAGGTGGACGAACTGTGGAACTAAGTTGAAGCCTGAGTTCAAATTAGCTAATTTCATAAAGTTGAAGACTGAAAATTCATGTAGGTAGGGAATTCTAGTCATATTGAAAAAGGGGATACCAATTAACAAATAAGAAATACGGGCAATATCGATACTCAGGAAGCTGAAATATTGATTTTTTTTTCCTGCTGAAAATACAGAATTTCCCACCTGTCATCTGTGGAAAATAAGAATTACAAACCTTAGGGCCCAGGAATTTCTGGCGATAACTTGAGTGCTAACCACTTCTTGTTGGGGCTTGCTCATGGGCATACATTTTCCAGATACTAACCCTCCTTTTTGCTGTGATTTTTTTTCTCTTTTTTTCCTCCAGTTTGAACAGCATCAGTTTAGCAGATGCAAAGCGGTCGGGTGTCAAGAGCGCTGGGTCCGAAGGAAGTGCCCCAATCAACAACTCCGTCATCCCTGTTGACTATAAGAGTTTTAAAGCCACTTGGACTGAGGTGGTGCACGTCAATCGGGAACGATGGAGGGCCAAGGTGCCCAAAGGTAACATGCCCTTAGGGACTGTCCCAGGAGACTTGTCCAAACCACCCAGCACCCACTCATAAAATAAGGCATTGCCTTCCCCTCCCCCGCACTGATTCATAGCTGTTGCACATGAAGCAGAATCTCAGGATGTAGACTCAAATTGCTGAATGGTAGCACCTGCCCTGTTTTGATCTTTATTATACCTAAAACTCAATGTGCGATAGAGTGATGCAGACCACCACGCCGCCTGACAACGTGACCTTGGTGTTGTATGACTGAACTCTTCTAGGTATGAAGGTCGCACAGGATGGGTGGTGTTATTTCTTGGTTTCTGCAGCTAGACCATCTTGTCATTCTCATTTCATATCATGTGGCACCATTATGAGGCCTTTATTTCTTCTTTTATCTAAGCAAAGTCTGGCCATCTTTCTTTGATGTTGACAATCTCCTTTCAGTCATTACTCAGACTGATCTGCTGAGATGAATGTGCAGGTCAACAGAGATCCGCAGAAGCAAACATCATCCAAAGTCAGGTCAGAAAAGACAGGGACATGGATGGCTCTTGGTGCTCAGGGAGGAAGCTGATTCCAATGGATTTGTGGAGGCGAGTCTTCGACAGCAGCCATTTTGTTGTTGTTGTTGTTGCTACCATCTATTGAGTGCCAGCTGTGTGCCAGGTTCTGTGCTCTGTGCCAAGGGAGCAGATATGAGTAATAGACATCCTTGTCATCAAAGCCCACAGTCTCCTGGGGGGAGGGGATATTACTACAGGTTTCCTTTCAAAGGAGAAATGGGAGTTCAGTCAAGGCCTGGCATTTGTCACCAGTACTCATAAGCCCTGAACGTCCCTTACTGCAGGCAAGGAGCGTTTTATCCCGAAACATACATCCATACTTTTATCCACCCAGTCTGGGAAGAGCATGTTCAGGCAGTCTTGGTCCCTCATATATTGGGGGGCTGCTGCTAGGATTGGAGAGAACACACCTCACTTAGAGACGGAGTTATTCAAAGGCCAGCCACTGTGACTTATCCACAAAATCCTGTCCAAGTGGGCTCTCATTTAAGGTGGGGCAAAGGGTTTGTATGTAAGGTGCTTTTAAGGCCTCATTGGTCCCTTACCATTTCAGGGAGCCAGTGCCCCCTCCATATTTTAAAAGTAGCCTTTCACAGTTCATTCAGATGCGTTCAACATTTAAATCCTCCCTGTTGGCAGGCGTTGCAAGCAGGGATGGCAGCTACTGCATCATCTCCAAGGCAGCACCTGCGTATCATCAATTACACTCATTACACTTGAAAACCCAATTCCTGACAACACCCAATATAAAGACGTACTTCAAAATAATTTGTTTGTAATTATCTGGCTTACTAAAATTACCTTCTGCAACTAATCACCTGGGGGAGCATTAGCCAGTTTCTTTACCAGGAGAAAACTGACCCTTTGAGAAAGACAGGTAAATAAACAGCTAATAATTCTTAAATCCATTAGGTATGCTAATAAAGATATGCTGAAGCAATTTTGGAAGCATAAAAGGACTTGTCCCGAACCCTGTGTGGGGTGTTTGGAAAGGCCTCTGGTAGCCAGGACTTGAAGGATGCCTGAACTTGAGCCCTGAAGAAGGTGTTGTATTTAGAAATGGAGAGCAGAGAGAAGGGGATGGACCCAGGCACAGAGCCCTGTTATATGTATTTTGTGGGAGGCTAGTTTGGTTATCAGAGTGGGGCAGGACAGAGGCGTTCAAGGTCAGTGGAGAAGCATGAAGGCTGGGGGTGGGCTTGGCCTGTCCATGAGGATAGAATCCTTCTTGTGGAAAGGATGGGGGTGGCATTTCACAATGATGTCTGCCCTACCTCCTCCTTGTAAGAGAAGTGTCTGCCTCTTTTTTTTCTCAGAGGAGTTGTTCTATTTCTACTCTCCAGGATGGCCTACAAGGGGGTAATTTCAGTTGCTGGGGTAAGGGAGAATTGAATCCCTACTTGCCTTGTGCTCTTTGAAAAGTTCAGGTAGATTCTTTGAGAAAATTTCACTTTGGGAGTGATAATGCACATCACAGAGTTGATGCAAAGAACAGAAGTAATTTATGTGAAGCGCTGAGGACAGAGCCCACACATAAGTCGTTGCCTGTAGGTGCTAGCTGTTACTTTTAAAAATGAGAAAAGAAGGATAGATGTTTGAAAGCAAAGTTAAGAAGATGGTAGTAACATAGCAACCTGTAACTATTATTTTATCACTTTCAGCCTCCCAGTAATGCTGTTGATGGTTGGATCAGTGTTTAAAACCACCAGTTTGCATCTGTTTTTCTGTTAGTGATCAGTTTGTACTTGATTATCCCAGGCTGTTTTGCTCATTGTTTTTGTTTGTTTGTTTCTTACCAGAAAACCCTGATTTCAACAAAGCTTTCCCTGCATGGGGCACTTGAATATATGTTGTTACTAAACTGGTCAGAAATGGGATTGGATCTAAAGTCTTGGTTTTATTAACCAATCTGATTTACAAAGCTAGGTAGACCAGAACCCATAGTTGTCAGGAAAGATTAAATCAGTATTTTTTATAGGCCTCAGAGCTGGAAGTCGTATTTCCAAACAAGAATGTGTTGGTATAACAATTTGCAAGTTTGGTCCGTATTAATCAATTTCCATTCAGTATTTAATACTTTTTAAACTATTTTTTTTCTGGAGTAAAAATAATATGTGTTTAGGTTATAATGCTGAAATATAAATAAAAACTCATACATACATAAAAAAATAAAAAAAACACTCATCCCTCTAGTCAGATATAACTATTATTGAAATTCCAATGTAATTCTTTTTAGTTTTTATATGTATATATTATATTATATATTTTACATATATATGTAAAAGTTTTCCCCATAAATTGGGATCATAGTATATTATCATCTTGTAGTTTACTTTTCTAACTCTATTTTGAGCATTTTATCCTGATACTGAATATTCTTAGAAAGTATAATTTAAATGGCACCATTGTATGTCATTTCATAGTTGAACCATCCCTTTATTACTGAGCATTTTATTTCTAGCTTTTGAATTTTTCTGTCAGCTGGAACACTTTTTGGCTAATATTTTTAGAAAGGTCCTATAAGAACACCCCTGAGTCCTTAGATGTCTAGAAATACCTTGCTGTTGTTCTTGTATATAATTGAGAGTTAACTATTTGAAATTTGTATAGTATTTTTTTTTGTATAGGTTGTATATTTTTGTATATTGAAATTTGTATAGGTTGTTTTTTTTCAGTTAGTCAGTTTCTGCCTTTTTCTTTCTCTCTTTCTGTTTGTAAGTAGATTAAACAGGCATTTCAGAAAATGATATCAAGGGATAAATAACTCAATACCATTTTAACCAAAAGCCTATAGTATCATTATTCAGAAAGGCAAATTAAATGAAGAAATTGATGTATTTCTCCAAAACTGTACAGACATTCAGCGTGAGGTAGAACCAGTTCTTAGGAAGAACGTAATTCATGGATCACGAGGGCCCTATGCTACCTTAACTCTTTTGCTGCTGCTTTTCCATTTCATAATGAGTCACATCAGCACAGATAGGCTGAAATGGGATTGAACTACACGTCTGCTAGTCCAGAAGCCTAGAACTGCCAAGGACATTAAATCTCAGACCTGAAAAGCTTATTCTCTGTATATATGCCATCATAGGGACCTGTCAGCACGTTACAAATTGATTGTGCTCTCCCCTACTTTTTCTCACTGTAGAACCATTTTATTTATAGTAATGATACCACTCTGTAAATATTAGGGAATGTGATTACAGTGGAACAGACCTACCTCCTGTTGATTTATTTTCTATTCTCTTATTGATGCGTTTGCTTGTTTCGGTCTACTTTGTTTGAGTGGTGCCACTTTGGGTTATGATGGTTGATCACATATTTCAGAAACAGGAGAAAGAGATGGACGTGGAGTAGAGGAGTTGAAGGACCTTGCAGAGTTATCCATGGAGCACGAGAGCTGCAGGGAAAGAGGCCCCGCGGTGGGGCCGGCTCATGTTGGAGTGGATTGTGACGTCATAGGAGCTACCTTTCATTAATTTCACCATTAATTGCCTGCTGTCAGCTGTAGTTGAGCAAAACCAGATTTGCTTCTGAAATGTACCCCCTCCCAGTTTTTTTGGTTTTTTTTTTTTTTTTTTTGCTAGATTTCCCATAGAAAATTGGTCTGACTCAGTTGTCAGATGAATTTTTCTTGCTCAGACAATATTTTAGGCTCTCTTCTGGCAAACCAGACTTTTAACACCTTCAGTTTTTAATCAAAATTATTTTTAACTTGAGGATATTTTGAATGTTGAAAGTTTGCCACAGATTCAGTGGGGGTTCGGTGAGGGGATTATAACTTGTTTTACCTGAAACCTGAGTGTGAATGAATTCTCCTGCCCTGTGCTTCAATTTCCCTGTCTGTGTAGTAAGAATAGTCATCTTTTTACTCACTTATATTAGTGGTTAAAGAAACTACCATTTGTCAAATGGCCGATTTTCTCAGGCCAAGACTTCCGAGTTTGTATTCTTTCTGTGTTTTACGTCAGCCTAGATTGCTGATGATGGAATATGTACAAGTCTGGCTCATTGGCAGGTAGGGTGACTCACACCCATTGTGTACATTTCCTTTCGTAAACAAATACTCCATGAGTATCTGCTATGTGCCAGGCTCTGTACCAAGCACTGGAATTCAGGGATGGAGATGACACTTGACCTTTGTCCTGGGGGCACTACGAAAGGATGAGGACAGGTGGGTGAACATTCCAGTGGGCCTCCTATGGCCCTGGCATCTACTGAGGTGCCATCTCTCTTGCAAGGGCATTCTTGTACTCTTTAGTTGTACCTTTCTGGAAGAGCCAGAAGACATCTCATAGTATATATACATGTAATTATGTCACTTTGTAAAGAAATCTTTCTTTACCTTTTCATTGTAAATTATAAACACATCCCGTTGGGAAGTAGAATGGCACAAAATATTGAGTGGCAGTCACTTAAACTTGAAATCAGTGCTTGTGAATGCTGAGTGCATATTAGAACCATCTGGAGATCACTTAAAATATCCTATTCTTTTGCTCCCCTCCTTCTAGAATCTTATTTATTTGGTCTGGGGTGAGGCCAGGTTTCGATGGGTGGATGGACAAATCAATGAAGGGATGAATGAAAGCCTCATAATGTATCAAGGAGGACATCTGAGCCAGGCAAATGTAAGGACAAGAAAAGTCAAATGAAGCCAGAGGTGATAGACACCCACAAAGGACAATACCGTGAAGCCCCATGAACATGTGAGCGGGACCACATTTGGGTTTTGTGCTTCTTAGCAGCTAAATCAAAGGGAAATGTCACATGCATAACCACACTGGTGCCCATTAGATTAAAAATAAACTTGTTGTCTATGAAAGTCAGTTTTTGTCAGGACCAAGAGAAATAAAGAGGACCCCTGCTAATGAGGTAGGACATTGTTCACATACCTAAAGACAAAAGTCAGTATTGCTTTTCATAGCGGAAGTTGATGGCGCAGTGTGGAGGGTCTTTTGAGTGAATGGGCTGCTAAGTGGGGTGAGTCTCTGGGCCTTAAGGGAGGATTGGCCTCTGCTAGGTGCCTTCCATCACCTAGTGTGTTATTTTCTACAACCCAGCTCCACTTCACTGCCTCCAAGGTCCCGCATGATCTCAGCCCTGCACGTCCTTGGCCATTTCACTGTCTCATTTGTCATTAACCCCTTGCTAAATTTGCTTTAGCCATACATGCTAACCCAAAGTTTCTAGAACATACCAAGCTCATGCCTACCTCGCGGCCTTACATTTTTTTACTTCCTCTGCCTGGAAGGCTCTTTTCCCTGATTATTGCATAGCCAGCAATTAATCATTCAGAATTTGGTACAGATGTCACCTTCTTTACCTCCTTATCTAATGCCACCTCCCTCCCACACTGTCTCGTATTACTCTGCTTAATTTTTGCAAAGCCCTTTTCATCATCTGAAATTAGCAATTTGTTTACTTAATTATGGTCTTCTCTACTCCATAAGTCTGCTTGCTGCTAGGCCAGTGCCTAAAATGGTGCTTGACACTCTAGCTGCTCGGTAAATACTAGTTAAATGAATCATCCAATCTTTTCATAAACATGTGACCATATGCAGTTATGGTATGTTTTTGATTAAGCAAAGAGCCACACCCTTTCGCACTCAACTGAACTGGAAATAAGGCTGACATCCTCTCATGAAAGGGAAAGACATAGACCAGGGTACCTAGCCAAACTAAAAGCCACCTCTCATCTGTGGACAGTTGGCAGACCGTGTTTTTTGAAAGGCTTAATTATCCACTGCCCACTTTTAAATTCACAGACAGTGGCCTGAAACCGTATTCTTCTAGTAGTGGTTATTTTTGCTGTCCTTTTGTTCTTTAATCAATAGCTTATGTTTAAACTCCAGGTCCTAAGCAAATCTACACAAGACTGCAGGTTTTACTGTGACTGTGGGGAAGTTAGTCTCTGAGCCTCAATTCCACATTTGTAAAATAGAGTTCCAGTAGTAGCAGCTACCTCCTAAGGTTCTTTTGAGAATGAAAGGAAATAATCCTTGAAAAGCATTTAGCATAATACCTGGCATCAAGGACACACTCAAGAGAAGTTATTGATGAGGATTATGATAATAATAATAATGCCAAGTATACTGGTTTATGAATTATTATTATTATTATTACTACTACTTTCTCCCTGCCCCCTCTTCTAACCCACTCTTCAGAAATGACATCACCATGACCTGATTTTATTTGTTTCCTGAATGTAAATGCCAGTCTGACGTGAATTAACCAAAAACAAACCCAAAACACTCAGTAGACACCTTAGGTCATTTTAGTGTATTAATTACCAGTGCCAATAATTGAACAGTCAAAGAGGCAATTCTAATGGTGTGACCTCTTCTTATCCTTTCGGTGCCTTTATTAACTTGCGATGGACACAGAGGAGAAGGCTAAGAAGGAAGCCGAGGAAAAGGCTCGCCTGGCTGCAGAGGAGAAGCAAAAGGAGATGGAAGCCAAAAACCAGGCCGAAGCAGGCGCACCTGGCAAAGCGGAGAAAAAGGCATCTGGCGAAGCTCAGAATCAAGTCAATGGAACCCGCCCCAACAAAAGCCACAACCCCCATGGGAAAAACTCCAAAGCTGAGACGTCGTCAGGAGAAAAGCAACAGAATGGTGAGTCGCATCACCCTGCTAAAAGGCCCTTTTTGGGGTGTGAATGACGTGATGAATGGATACTGGTCATCCAGCTGCCGGGGACCCCGCCTCTCTGGGCTGTGGATCCCATCAGGATCCGTCAGAAGCAGCCAGATGCCCGCCTGGGCCATTCTCCCTGGGGGAGAGTGATTCCTTTTGGGCCCTTCCCAGTTGTTCTGGAGACTGACCAGGACCTGCCTGCCCACTGGGGAAATTACTATGAACAATCCCAGCACATCCCTGAGTGCTTCCTGCCAAACTTGGTGACTGGAAAGTCAGTGTCCCATATCTATTATCCCTCTAGCAGGGCCGGCCGTCAGGTCTGCCTAAGGCCCATTCCTGTAGCGTGTGTCCATATCTCTGTATGTGAATAAGTATATACATTAGGGTAACCAGCCGTCCCAGTTTGTCTGTTACTGAGAGGTTTCCTGGGATACAGGGAAACCTGAAGGGTTCCAGGGAAACCGGGATGAGCTGGCCACTGTAGTGTACATATAGTTGATGATTTCTTATATTGAATGCAACAAATATTTATTGATTAACAACTACAGGTCAAGTGCTGTGCTTGGCACTGGGGATTTAAAAATGGAAAAGTCCCAAGAAGTCCATGATTTCATAGGGGATATAGACATCCTCAGAAGTCATTCTAGGACACTGTGAACAAGTCACAGCAGTGGCTTGGCAGGGGAGGGCCCAAGGGACATGTGCAAGGAAGAGGCATTGGCCTTGCTGGGTCTGAGGCTTGCACAATGGGGGACACGTCAAGGACGGCCTCGTGAGAAGGTGACGTCTGAGCTGGGATTTATGTCCTGAAATGTGCTGGTCAGATGGGAGACAGGGAATCTTCATCCGGAGGGAGCGACATGAGCTAAGGTACGGGGATATGGAATTCGTTTCCTTGTTTGGGGAAGGCAGAAAGTTCAGTCTCGGGAGATGTCAAGTGCCAGGTTGTGGCAATGGAGTGTCGCAGTCAAACCGATCTGGATTCAAGTCGCAGCTGCGCCTCTCACTTCTTGGTGGCCGTGGCCAGGTCACTTAACTTTCCATTCTGCCTGTAAAAGAGGCGAGGGCTACATGAGCGTCCAGTAATAATGATAGCAAAAACGATGACAATAAAACAAATGGCATTTATTAACTATACACCAGATATCGTTTTAAGTTCTGTCTTTAGATATTCGTTCTCCTACCTGCCTGGTAGGGCCAGGTGCTATACCTATATTATTCTTACACAGCCTGGGTAAATGAGACATATGTAGAAAGGGCTCAGCACAATTCTCACCAAGTATTTTTACAATGAGCACATATAAACGTGTCATCAGAAAGCAATATTTTAATACCTATATTAATGATAGTATCGGTTATTAATGGAAGTTCCAAGAACATTGCATACATTCCTTCAGGTAATCCCCAAGACCATCTGGGAGGCAGGAAGGCTGTTATCCACCGTCCAGCCCCTCAGCAGCCTGGTTCCAGAGACTGCTTGTAACTAGTTTGCTCTTATCCGAGTGCATCATAGTCTAGAAAATATGTTCAGTGTGATGAGACTTTATGATACACCTATCGGAGTGTTAGGGGGCCATGCAGAATACCCGTTCCTTCCCCTCCCCGAGGTCGGGACCGACTGAGAGAGAGATACCAGACTCAGACAGTTAATGATCAGAATATTAGCTGCCCTGCAGCTGGGGCTGAATTGGAACACGTGGACTTGGTCTGCTGAGCACATGGGTTCTTCACACACCTGCCCTGAACTGAGCTCAGTAACCAGACACTGGCAGAGCAGGCAGGCTTTGGACTGGCCCCTCAGCTGCACCCTAGCATCCCAGCAGGCTGCTTCTAGGTAAACAAAAAAGATGTGCATCTCATGGAAAACACACTTCAACGGGGACTGGGGGCTGCAGAGATGGGTACCTGGGCTGAGCTGTGCATATACAACTTCTAGATGATTCTTTCTCCGTCCTAAAGGAGGAGCGTGTGACAGAAGCAAGACATGCTTCTCCCCTACTTGTTTTCTTTAGGAGAGTGGCTTAAAAATGTCTTTCCCTTAATAAGGACAGTCATTATAAGTTCACTAACATTTACTGAGTGCTTAACATGTGCTGGACATTATATGTATGATTTCACCTACACTAAATCATTGAAAAATCCTAACAATTCATCCCTAATTTGCAGATGAGAAAATGGAGATTCAGAAAGGTTAGATCACTTGCTTAAGGTCAAGCAACCCTTAAGTAGAGATTTCAGGGCAAATTTAGTTCTGTGTGACCCAAATTCTAAATTCCATTAGCCAGCATGTTCCTACTATTTGCAAGTTTCGTTGCTTTTAGAGAGAGTAGGAAGTCAGAGAGATATTGAGACGCAGCTGCTGTCCACAAGAAGCTTAATATGTTTATTCCAGGAGTTGGCACACTCTTTCTGTAAAGGATCAGATTGCAAATATTTCAGGCTTTGCAGGCCACACAGTCTCTGTCACAACTACTCAATACTGCTGTTTTAGTGTGAAAATAGCCGCAGATAATATGTAAACAAATAAATGTGGCCTGTGTTCCATTACACCTTTATTTATGGAAATTGAAATTTGAATTTTATATAATTTTCACATGTCATGAAATGTTCTCCCCCCCCCCCCAACCATTTAAAAATGTAAAGCCCATTCTCAGCTTGTGGACCATACAAAGTCAGGCAGTGGCGCCAGGTTTGGCCCACGGGCCACGGTTTGCCAACCCCTGGTCTGGTCAGGGAGAGAAACCAATGAGAAGGGTATAAACAAATACCCAGAGAGGGTAGAGGTGGCAGTCATTTATTTTGAAGATGATTGGGGAGAGCGTGAAAGAAACAAAACACGAGCCTGAGCCTGCACGTAGGTTGGGCTGGTTTCACAACTGTGTTTATTTCCCAAAGTAAACATAGTCTACCATTTCCCTTAAAAATTAAGTATTAAATGAGAGGTGGGAAAAGAAATCAATTTAGAGCAATAATCAGAAAGGCTAATGGTGGTTCAGGACTGTGTTACAGCAGCCTAATTAAAGTGATTTATAACTGCACAGAAAGGCCCTTTTGTTCCCCCCTGTTTATTGAATAACAGCTCACATCAGCCATCACTCCATATACAGCCCATGGGAAATTACCTAATGGGTTCTCTTCAAGGGATGTCATCAGACAAGTGTGTGTCACTTTCCTGGCACCCTCTTTGTGGCTGCCCAAGATATTTCCAGTTTAGAGCTGAAGGATACTGGTTACGTGAGGTTCTTGGGGTTTGGTCTCCTATCAGCAGTTTTGAGAGCTCCTAAAGCTTTGGTCTCCATCAAAACACTTCCTGTCTCAGCCTTCCCAGCCCTGACTGAGGAGAAGGCAGGCTGCCACAGGTTGCTGGCTAGCCTCTGGCAAATTGAACCACCCCTGCGGACTTCCAGAAGAGATCCTGGCCTTGCTGCAGCTATGGGTAAAGCTTTAGTCCAGGGCAACCAGGAAGGCTTACGTAGAGTCCATCAGGCCATAAAGGCTCATTTCGTAAAGAAAGGTCATTTTTCTGCAAGGAATTCGTTTGATTACAGGGCTCAAGGTTCTCAAGTTCATCTCCGCCATCTTTAAAACAGGGATAAGCCAGTACTTGTACTGTTCCATGGTACATCCAGGGGGGTTCATCTGTTTTGACCACTGGTGCTAGTGGAAGGTGATGGCTGCATCCTCCCCTTAAGCTCTTCTGGCTGGCACCCTGGCCAGAATCGACTGCCCTTCCCCTCAGTCCCTCCAGCCAATACATCTCATTTCAGAATTAAGAATAAGAGAAAAATTTGAGAGGTTTTTGAGTCTTAACTAGGTTAGGATTTATCAAATTCCATTAAAGGCACATACTTTGTAGAATACAAAGAATAGCCAAAGATGGTCTTGAACTATCCTTACTTAGATAACCATTTATAAATCTGTAGGCCAAAGGCATTTAGAAATGGCAACAGTCAGCAGAAGCTTGAGCCTCGTAGGAAAGTTGCAAGAAACAGTGGTTGAGAACTTGGCCTCTAGAATCAGACCCATCTGTGTATATTCTGGTAAATTACTTTATTTATGCTTTAGGTCCAATAGCCATACAATGGAGGCAATGTAAGTTTCACGGCAGTCCTTTACAAGTTGATTTAAGTAAAATTACTTCCGTAGAAAGATTAGTGAGCCATTTGTTCAAAGACTGTCAGACAAATGGCTTAAACCAGATCTATGGCAGATAAGAGGGGCAGTTTGGCTGCCAGAGGGAGACCCACAGGCACGGTTAGGGGCTGGGCTGGGCCCAGGGGAGTGTGTGAAACAGGCAGGTGAGCAGCCCACTGAACTTAATACAGCTGGACTGACGGATGTGGGACAGAGAGGCTGCAGGGAAGTCAACGGAAAGCTCAAACTTGGAAAACATCCTGTCATTTGGTGAGTTTGTTACTCAACAAATTAATCATTCAGTGAATTAATCTTTGATGAAGTTACCTCTTTTCAATAATAACACCTTCATAACAGGGTAGTTATAAGAATTTAATGAAGTGATGCATGCAAAGCATTTAGCACACTATCTGGCACAAAGAAAGCAAAGAAGAGAAATATATTTGGGTCCTGCTCACTGCAATTGCTTGCAATTATTATTAGGGTCTTTTTGCTTCAGTAAGTACCGGTATTTCAATAATAATGTATTCTTGGTTTTATGCAGGCTTTAAAAAAAGCTACCATTAGTAATCGGTAAGAAAAATATCCTAAACTTGAAAATAAAGCTTGGGGGGAGGGGTGCTACGTTTGTTTGGTTCTTTCTTTCTTTCTTTCTTTCTTTCTTTCTTTCTTTCTTTCTTTCTTTCTTTTTTCTCTCTTTTAAATTAAATGTATTGGGGTGACATTGGTTAAGAAAATGATATAGGTTTCAAGTTCTTTCAATGTCACACTGGCATGTTGTTGAGCAGACCTGGCCAAGGGATATTTATCTTAGGCAGGTGTCAGCAAACTTTGCCTGTGAAGGGCCAGATAGTAAACATTCCTGGTTTTGTGCATCTCTGTTGAAAGTATTCAATTCTGCATTGCAGCTTGAATGCAGCCATATTTGAATGCAATATTGAATGCACAATATTTAAATGAATGGGTGTGGCTATGTTCCAATAAAACTTTATTTACAAAAGCAGATGGCAGGCCAGATATGCTCAGGGGCCATAATTTGCTGATCCCTACTCTAGGAGAACTTGACTTTAACTTTGTCATTTACCATTTGATTCAAGCCCAGGTATTGTGACATTATATGCTAATGTGCAGATATTTGAATAATAGGGGAGATAACCCCAAAGGTTATGGTTTTATAGTCTTGTAGGACATATCCAGTTTTGTCTCTAACCTAGCAATCTTATTTTAATACATTTCTAAAATACCTATAAATACCCAGCTCCTTAAATACTCCTGGAACTCTCCTTACTATCTCTCTCATTCCCTCATACATGAATTAAATAAGATTTTGGATGTGTTCATTCAACATTTGTAGGCATAGTGTTTTTGTTTTTTGTTTTTTACTTTTACAAATTACATTTCAACAAGCTGCTTAATTAGAATGCCTTTTATATTAATAGTTCTGTTTTACAATAATAACAACTGTCACTGAGGATGTGTCAGATACCACATTCAGTCCTTTACATGCATTTGTCCACATATTATGCCTGTAAAGTAAATATTAATATCCCCGTTTCGCAGACAAAAAGGTTGAACCCCCATAAAAGTTAAATAGGCTTTCCCTATTTAATTCCACAACCTAACTATACTGCTGAGTGACCTTTCTTGGAGGATAAACACCGTTGACTTAGGTACAACCCTGCTTAACAGGAATTTTCGGCCTTAATTTCCAAATCATAATCCAATATGTAGGATGTAACATGTGGTTCAAAGGATATTTACACTCAGACACCCCCTCATGATGAAAATTATGCTTTTACCTTGACAGGTTTAAAGATATTTATAACTTCCTCCTGAGGTGTCTACGTATACTGTTTGTCATGTTTGTTACTTTCAGGTGACTTGAAAGATGGCAAAAATAAAGCAGACAAGAAGGATCAATCCAATGTCGGAAATGATTCAAAGAAAACAGATGGTAAGAGCATAATTCTCATTACATTTTTCCATAAAATGTGCAATTTAATGCAAGCTTGTTAGAATTCTACCCAAAATTGAAATTGTGGTTGTTAATGTATTCTTATATTACACCCTGAAAAAACACTTTATTACATTTAAAGAGTACTGTTATCCCTTTTTCAATCATTTGCAATTATTGTTGCATCTCTTCCCTTCCACCCTCCAGCATACTTTCTCCATCACAAATGCATTCTATACTTTCTTTTCCCACTACCATTTTTCATTGTAAACTTTATAAAAAGTTGATTCCAGACTTGCTGATTATAATGGAATGGAATATGATGAGTCTTTGATCATGAGCTGTGCAGTATAAATGGGAAATGCTCCATGTTTTTACTTTTCACATTTTTTACCTTTAATGAGTTATTACTTTTGGTAAAAAGTAAACAGAGGTCTGTGCAGCATTACCATTATGTTGGGAGGCCCACAGGCTGGAGAACATACATAGCTGTAGAATAAAGGATGACAATCTCAAACCAGCTAGACTGACTCTATCTTGCAGTGGGCTTTATGAGCACTCCTTTTACTCTCCATAAACAACATTCCACTTTTTCTAAACCCTGAAAGTTCAAATTATATTACCTTCCAAACGTCAGACTATCATGTTGAGGAAACCACTCTTGCTTTTTATATAAACCTCCTGTTTCAGTTGTAACATGGGCTCATTTCTAGTTATTCCCTCATACATATACATGATGTTAAACTAGAAAATGAAAGTTTCCATGGAGTGGTTTTTGTTAGAGTTCCAGCGTCTTTGAATCACACTTCCTTGGAGATATTGTGTTGGATGCTAAGCTTAGTTTAGTTATAACGTCATTGAAGAACAAGTTGAAGAATAAGAAGATATCTGAACACAACACTGCACACACACTTATATGCATGAAATCCGTTCTCAAAACTTTCCTTTAAGGTCATTCAAATAATTCACTTCAGGTGTCTTATCACATTGTATCTGGAGAACACATATGTGCAATTTTCACCAAATTTCTTGTGCAAATGGAAACCACTTACCTAATAAATATACCCTCCTTGAATGATTGTGACTAAGATGTGAATTACATAGAGATAATGTAGAATTCAAATGACAGCCTCTTGCCCAGACTCTGTTAGACGCAGCATAAAAGCCCAGAATAAACCAAGTCCCAAATCTTTCACATGGGATCTTGAATTTTGTTGCATTTTTGTACTGTGCTACAAATATCTGTTATAATCTTGTCATGTGAGCAGTGGGACTGAATTGTATTATCTTCATTAAGCACTCTTATTTTACCTGTGCCCCTTTTAACTGAATTGCCCCCAAGTATTTAAAGTAATTACACAGTTTGTTTTTACTTTGTGGAGAAGGGTAATGAAATAGATATTATGTTCCATTACACAATTAAGTGTAAAGTTGGTTGTTTAATGAACTGGATTCTTGATCCCATAGGGCAGCAAACATGATGCAGTAAATAAATAGACAATTTCTAAAGTCCATCCATTTTCCTCTTCATAACTGTAATCTGCCACTGCTTCAAATGGGGCCTGTTGTGACCGTATACTTGCAAGTTTGTGCACAAACTTGGGCATGAACAACTTGGTATTTTAATTTCATTGATGGGCTAACATGACTTCAGTCATTAATCACTGCTTTGTATTATCAGGACTTAGATTATAGGGCTTTAATTACTTGTACTATCTTAGTCTGAAATGTTTACCAGGACTAAGGGTAATTCTTGGTGGCATGAAATGGAAAACAGTTTGATCAGTCTCACTACCCCTTTCTCTCCCGTCATCAATGCTCTCTACTTTAAACAACACTTTAAATGATGTATAGATTAGTACATTGATTATTAAAAAACTATCTAGTAACACCAGGTACAGTTTTGTAGAGATGGGTTTATTTATAAGAATGCAATATTAACATTTTCTGGAAAATACAGTAAGCTATAGGAAAGACATTCAAATGGGAGCAGTCAAGCATGTTTTCATGTAACAACTAGAACATTTTTGAACATTTCTTTTTAATGGATCCTGTTGCCCAGGATCCTGATGACCAGGGAGGGGGGTCAATTTTGAATGCCCCTACCCTTGATCCAACCTTCAGGAACAAATGGTGAGCAGTTCTGTCTACTTTTTGAGAGGGCGTATCCAAGCACAATTCAGTGCCCAGTGTGATCAAGCCCACTGTGGTTTGAAGTTTCAACACTGTATGCATCCACAAAGAAATTCAATGGAAACTGGACCAGCGTTGGTTGTCCCCAAGCTCCAGTGAACCGAGGCATGCAGAGAGGAAAGGAGCATGTGTCGAAAGAGTAAATTACATCCCAGCATAATGAACACACTGCAGTTGTACATTATCTCTGTCAGGCTACCAAGGGTACTGTACAGTACCCTGCAGCACTAATTTTCTAACTGACTTCAAAGAATGAATGTCCTTTGAAAATGTCTTGCTTTTTCTTAGAAAGAAATGTACTAACACAAAAAGATACGAGCTTCTGAGCTAAGATTCTCTCAGGGTCTAAACTTTTACAGTGGTACAGTGTCATTGACAAACTTGTGGGGTACCACATGAATAGATAATTTTTAGTGTGTTTTTTTAGTCATATTTGAAACATCTTCATCTCTTAGACCGGCCATAATTTTTATAGTTGCCCTGAAATATGAACTTGCCCTTAACATTATATATAATATATGAGATATTCAGTGTTTGTGTCTCTCAAAGGATTGATTATAATTAGGCCCTGCAGGGTTGCTTGCCAAGTCCCAGGGAGGGAGTTCAGCAGGAATTTCTCCTTCATTGAATGTTTGGGAATTGAAATATTTAAAGATGCTGGTTCATGAAATTTAAAAGTCAGTTATGAAGAGTGGATGAAAAACCATCAATGGAGCATCTGCTTCTGCCAAAGAGGAACTAACACAAGTAAAATTTACCCTTCCACTCGAAGCCATCAAGAAAACAAAGACACATCTCTAGAAGAATGGTTTTCAAGCCAGTAGACATCAAGAAATGAAGGACAGTGATCTCTGAGATTCAGGAAACAAATGAAGTGAGCCTGACAATTTCCCAGCTTACTGCCTTGAGAAGATGGCTCCCGGGCTGCATAGAAGGGAGGAACCCAGGCCGACCTGATGGACCCTTTGAGTTGAGGAGTTGAATAAGGATCCAGGGAGACAAGGGGGCTAGAGTTAACAGGATGAAGTAGAAGAGAGGGGACAGCTGCGGAAAGATAGAACTCCAGAGATCTGAAAAGTATTCATCAGAGTACTGATCGACCCATACAAAGAGGAAACTGCTTGAAACCATGAAAGAATCATTCAAAAGGATTAGAAGGAATGGTCCTGATGCTCACATTTCACACAGGGTGGGCAAAGTGCCTATTTTTACTTTCCAGACTTGAGTACCTCATAATTTAAAGGGAATTGGGTAGAATACTAATGATTGTCTTCACTTAGTAGTGGGGAATAACCAGCTTAATCTAAATGCTGCTTTGATCTCACCCAAGAAACCTTAAAAGCTGGACATAAAAGGATCAAAGTGATGCCAAATAACTGAATCCCAGAATAAAGTTTGCATATATATATATATCCCAGTACTCAGCAAGTAGAATTCAAAATGTCTAACATTCCAAAAATTACTGAACATGCAAAGAAGGAAAAAAATACTATCCCCTAAAAAGGGGGAAATACCAACCAATTGAAACCAACCCAGAACTGAGACAGATGTTACAATTAGCAGACAAGAACATTTAAAGCAGTTTTTATAACTGTTGTCTATATATTCAGAAGTTGAGTAGAGACATGAAAGATATAAAAAACAAAATCAAACTTCTGGAGATGAAAACTATAATGTCTTACAGGAAAAATACACTGGATGATATTAACCAGATAGTATTGACTGGAATTAATGATAAATACACTGGATGAGATTAGACATTGTAGAAGAAAAGAGTAGTGAAAAATTAGCTATACAAATTATCCAAAATGAAATACAGGAAAAAGAATAGAAATTATTGTAATGAGCATGAGTGAGTTGTAGGATACCTTTAAGCAGCCTAATGTGTGTATAACTGGAGTCTGTAAAATAAAGAAGAGAGAGAGAAAGAGAGAGAGAGGAGCAAAGAAAAATATTTGATGAAGTAATGGCTGAAATTTTGCCAAATGATGAAAACTAAATCCACAGACTTGAAAAGCTCAATAAAATCCAAGCACAAGAAATATGAAGAAAATTACACCAGAGCATACCATAATGAAATCATTCAATTTTTTCTTCAGTGATGAAGAGAAAAATTTAAAAACAGCTAGAGAAAAAAATGACACATGTATTGGGTTGTCAGAAAAGTCATGATGCATGTTTGCGACAGATGGCACTAGTTCATTTTTGGAAGTACTAGAGTCATTCACAATCTATGTTATTGCTATGTCATTTGACCGCTGACAGTTCTAGCTTCATTCTAAAAAAGTTGAGCGATTTGGTTGAGTTTTGGAGATTTTACAAGTTGAAGATGGAAGACCAAACTGTGCATTTTTGGTATATTTTACTGTTTTATTTCCATAAAGGAAAGAACGCACATCAAGCTTGTGAAAAGTTGCATAAAGTTTACAGTGACAATGCTCTACCAGAACGTCAGTGCCAATGATGGTTCACAAAATTCTGTGCTGGTGATTTTGATCTCAACGATGCTCCTTGGTCAGGGAGGCCCACCGAGGTTGATGATGACAAAATAAAGGCATTGATCGAGTCAAACCCATGTTACACGACATGAGAGATTGCAGAAACATTGAACATCCATCATTCAAGTGTTCACAACCACCTAAAAAGCTGGGATACATAAGCAAGCTCAATATTTGGGTTCTGCATGAGCTCAAAGAAGTTCATTTTACGGCGCGTATAAACATCTGCAATATTCTCATTAAATGTGAGGAAAATGATGCTTTTTTGAAGCGACTGATAACTGGTGATGAGAAGTGGATTGTATACAA